TATTTCGCTGGAGAAGGTAACAACACATTATTCATACACTAAGCTTGTTTATAAATAAATATGCTTTTAAATATTTTTCTTAGGAGTTCGACATTGATTTGGTTTTCAGACAGTCTGCTGAGGGTTTGCGTATAATGGAGTTGTTCAGACAAGAAAATTCAGTTAACAGCAAGCTTATCAAGTCCATCACAACCGTTCTAAGTGATTACTTAGTGAGGAGATTCGGATAATAAGTAAAATGTTTGTATTCATCCTCTAATTATACTAAACATGCACTTATTCAATGATATGCAAGTATGCAAAATTGAAAGGAAATTTAATTTCTAAATTATACAGATGACATTCATCAAAATGATTTCTGTGTATTATGGATATTACAGTTGATCAGCAGTCAAAGTCGCAGTCAACTGCTGTTTTTATGGTCCAAAATTTAATATTTTTCTGAAATTTTGATTAATCATCTGCTGCACTTTCTGTACAAGCTAAAACAGTGTGAACTATTTGTTTTTTTTTCATCCACGCTTGTAACATGGCCTATTTTTATCCTGCATCAAAACAACTTATCCGCCATATTTTTTCAGAAACATAAATTCTACATATTTAAAAACATATCGTTCAATTCCTTTTTTACTTTCAGTTCTCAATGTAACAAGCTAATTCATTTCGATACTTGCTGGTATCCACCAAATATTTAATCTTTGCTAACCAAATCATCATTTGTGGCTGTACTCTTCGGCCAGAAGAACTATGCTATTAGCGCGAAGTACAGTTAGACCACTGAGATTGGCGCTTGGTTGGTGTTAGCAAGCAAGTATTCTGTTGATTAGTATTGTTGCATTCAGAACATGCTTATTGAAGTTTTCTAGTACAGTGTGGGTCCAACCAACTACACTTTAAAACGGAAAACCCTATTCAGTAAGTTTCATATGCATGCCGAATAGGCAAGTTTTGCACGTGATATAACCAGGTTAATTATCAAATTTGTGGAAAGTAAAAAAGTCCAAAATTATGTGATACGACAATAGGATCCTTACTGTTATTTGATTGGAGTTTATATCTTTTAAATTTGATTTGAAAAAACCATCTATATTTTATTTTTTTAAACGTAGGATTTAGAAAAAAATAAATAACTAAACAGTTATAATAAACCAAGGTTAAAGGTTGTTTGAATAAATATGCGAATAATTAATCGTTATGAATTAATAACACAAACCATGACTAAGAGGAAGTACTTCAGCATCATACCGAGCAACATTTTCGTCTTGGTAAAACCGGCTGATTTTGAGTATTTGTGCTAAATCGATTTGTAGTTCTTCTGCTTCCAAATGCATAAATATATTAGCCAATCTGCTATTATATACATAGGACAGCGGCTGGTCCAATTTCCACATAATCTTTACTGACGTTTAAAATTGTCTGCTTCCGTTACTTTTGCATGGGTCTTAAACTGTAAAAAAAAATCACTATTAAGCATTGATCTTCGGAGAATAATAAAATTAGATTGTTAGATATTTTTTTCTTCAGAGAATGGCTTCAGTTGAGAGTCCATTACTTCAAAACTAGAAACGCAATATTCGCTGCTGCTTTGGAAGGCCTTTAAGAGGGTGAAATTTTGTTTGTTCTCAAACTGTCACTCTATCAATACCTCGACGTACATGGTTATTTTGATTAATTTATGTTCATTTTCAACCAAATGGAAAATGGCAATAATGGTTGCCTGTTTTCCAAGCATTTTCTTTTTACTGTCCATAACTTTTTTTTTAGTTTTAGTAGTCATTAGTACTAACTTTTATTATTTTTAGTCATCCTAATATGCACTACAAAGATATTATTGCCAGATCCTTGGTCAGCAAGTACAACGTGTTGAAGTCCTGCAGTACAGCAATCCCTCACGCCTTATGGTTTTATCCTCATGGAAGAGGGCAGGGAAAACACAGTGGAAAGATTCACTACCACATTGAGTACATGGTAAAAAAATACAAGCAACAAGTTCATCAACCAAGGCGTCTTGGCAACGTGGATACTATTGATGGTGATGACAACAACATGCTACAGGCTAGTGAAATCCAAAACGATTCTGCAATGGTAAATAATATAACACTATTAATTAAATTATTCAAAATAATAGGACTATTCATATTCCAGATTGAAAGGCTGAAGTACATTGTCCCAACTGACGCATCTCTGGAAGTAATTAAAAACGATTGGGGACAAACGTTTGGCGCCAGGAAGATCATCAGAGATAATGGTGATGATGCAAAACTGGTTGACGAACTGCTTGAAGCTTTCCCTCTAATGATTGAGTTCAGCGGATCTTTAGTATAATAGTTAAAACTAGCCGTTTCATTCTAATTACTTACAAATTTTTCGGTTATAGATCTCAGTGGATTTCGAAGTGATGTTTCCTAATGCTGGCGACTTCAATGAAACCTGGGAAATTTTGCAGCCAAAAATACTGAATCCTGATGAATGTGGGCGTCTTAGTGGAATACCTGTATAATGAGAGAGAGAAGGATTAGTATTTTCCATTTAATTCCACTACTTTATTTGCTTATCCTTGACAGATACGCGTATTTCGTCTACAATGTGCAGACTTCTTCAGTGTCTTGTAAGTCGTAAGTCAAGTCGAGTATTAGTACAAGACACTGAAGAAGTCTGCACATTGTAGACGAAATACGCGTATCTGTCAAGGATAAGCAAATAAAGTAGTGGAATTAAATGGAAAATACTAATCCTTCTCTCTCTCATTATACAAAAATACTGGCAAAACACCACAGCTTGCATTCATACATCAAATCCCGTGAGTAAATTTGCTGTGAAAATGGATACATTTTTGATTATGTATTTGTGAATTACAGAATTTATTCGAACACTTGTTTTCGTAAAGGACAAAAATCCAACTCGTGGGGCTAAGCGCGCAATTCAAGGACCACAAAAGATCACAAATCACTTGGATCATATCATCGAATGGATCAATGTATGAGTAATCACTAATTTGAAAACTTATCCTAATTTGCAAATAATACTAATGACCTTTTTCAGCCCGAAGACGACGTCGAGCAATTCGCTTCTGGCTATACTAAGACCAAGCTACCGATATTAATCGTCAAGGCACCACAGTATGAGGAAGGAGCAACATACATTCGTTTGAACAAACGTGTGTTTTCGGCAGGTTGTGATACACGCCGAGCATTTTTGCTTTTGGTTCAAACATACTTCATTTTCAAATTCAAGTTTGAACCGTCTCTTGCAAATTTTTACAATTTTTTCGTTGGAGCCGTTTTGACCGTGGATAATATGACGACAACTGTTAACAACTTTATCTTTCAGCTCAACTAACAAAATGCTGAAATGATTATACGGTATGAAACTAAATTTAATTTGTTTAAATAAATGAAAATGATTCAAATAAACTGAAATTAATGTTGTTTTGAATGAACCAGTATGATTAAAACTAAAAAGCTGATTTTTCAGTACAATGATAAATATTGCTGAATTATTTCAGCAAAGTGCTGTCAAATTATGCGATTGCCGAATAACTGGATTTTCAGCAAATCTATTAAATATGCTGAAAATTCAGTAAACCTCTGTCAAGCAGAATGACATTTCACATTGCTGAAAATTTCAGTAATTTTATATTGCTGAAATGATTACTGAAATTTCAGCTCGGCAAAATTCAGCAAAAAATTGCTGATTTTCAGCGATAAAAATTTGGTGTGTAACAAACAGATATTTTGCAGGTATATCAGCAAAAGTAGATGCCAAGCTAATCGGCTGTTGGAGATTTTACCGAGCTAGAATAAGTGTGTAGAGTGCACCAGGTGAGTTCGAGGGGAATCGTCAACCAAACCGTTTGTTTACATCCGTGTGTTCCGCTTCCCATGTCTCACGGCAAAAATTTCTGCACACAACACTATTTTTGACGTTTTCCTATTCAGCACCAGAGGTTGAATCGATCGGTTAGTTTCTATTAAATTTATCTTTTATCAGAACATTTCGCCGAATGAGTAATTTCGCCGAATATTTATCTTGAATCAAACTGAAAGAACTGGTCTTCTTCATTCCTTTATTTAACGTCGAGGTCTCTGTTCCGCAATCTAGTGCCAATCACCGACGGACATTGATTGCCATCCATTGACGGCGGCAATCGAATGTGCAGGAAGGCAGCTTCCACACCTGCGTAGGATATCGCACCCATTAAGGTTCAATTTACTTTGAAGCTTTTTGGAAAATTTCAAAAGCAGTTTTTTCCTACGCATTATTTCAGATTGCAAAAAGCTCGCACTATTCGATTCCTTTTGATATTTTACACAAAATTACGCGAGCTTTTCGCAATCTGAAATAATGCGTCGGAAAAAACTGCTTTTGAAATTTTCCAAAAAGCATCAAAGTAAATTGAACCTTAAACACACATGGGCCAGGACCAACGGATTTACTTCCCTTCCGAAGGAAGACGTGACCAGAGATGTTTATGCCTCAGAAAAATCCCACCGACCTCGGCTGGGATTGAACCCAGACCCATTGGGGTGTTAGAAAGCAGTCACGCTTACCACTACACCACCGGCGCCGGCTGAAAGAACTGTTCATGTTTAAAAGAAGGAAGCATTCCTATAAATCAAAAATATTCCCTAATAAACAGGTACCATACACTAACGACATCATAGATGGTATAACCATGCCACATAAAGTTGAGATTATACCCCGAAGTGGTGGTTAGGCGCTTTTTATGGTTATTGTTTATGCGGGTTGATTATTCACAAATTTATTAAATCAGCAAATTTTGAAAGAACTGTTCATGTTTAAAAGAAGGAAACATTTCTACAGATGTAAAACATTGATCATTAAAAAAAATCCGAATTCAGTACAACTCGAAAGAACTGATCATGTTCAAAAGAAGGAAGCATAGAACTGTTGCATTGAACTATGCAAAATAAAACGCATTTTTAAACCCTAGCAAGATTTTCGTGCCCGGATTTTTTTCGTGTTCAACCTTTACTTACCATCGTTCCGGTGCATCGATAAACTTGGAATTGAACGCATAGCAGAACCCATGCTCGGAGAAAACCGGTAAAAATTGGCTGCAACATTCCAGTGGTTCACCTCGGAACCAACATCCTGCCAACAGATCGTCGCAACCGACCGCCACTTGGAATACAAAGTCCCGAAAGCTCTTCCCCACCACCATCCTGGACCACGTTTGGGGAACATCTTCCTTCATCGACGATACAATCGCATCGAACTGAGCATAGGAAATTTTCGCCATCAAACGCAGGAACGGTTCCACTTCGGTGAAATTTTCCGCGGGTTCAATCGATTGCAACCACCGTTCGGCGTTGCCACGATTCAGCGGATCCATCGGGCACAGTGCCACCGTTGGAAAGATGGTCCAGTTTTGGCGCAATCCGGTATCGGGTCCGGTGATGGTCGGATTGGTCAGAAACCGCTGCCACAGATTGAAAATGATGACCAACGTGGTGACGGTACCGGTGGAAACCATACAGAACCAGCAGAATTTCTCCCAGAACGGTTGACCCCGTTCGGCGATGTAGCGTACCCCGTGGAGGGTGGATTGAGCGAAGGATTCTCGCAGCTGGACCAGAAGGCTCGCCCGGAGCAGTCCAAGGAAGGTGAGTGATGGCATTGATGTTTTTTGTTTTTCGTTACGGCTTGGTGAAAACCGGGCCAAGTACTGCCGAGTAGCGAAAAATGGTTGCAATCCGGTGCAGGGTTTGTTCGTTTTGCGTGACCACAGGACATAATTTACACCTTTTTTGTGGGTGTTGTTAATTGGGAGGGAGTAACCGAATCTACTTACTGGTGGTATCGTGACTGTAGGACATGATTTCTGTTTTAAAGGTGTAGTTACGTTGTTCGTCATACACCCAACATAGAATTGTAGAATGCACTTCGTTTTTATCATGATAAGGTTGGTTTGTTTGCACACTAAACCAGTAGGTTGCTGAGATTTTTTTTTCCGTAATACCTACCCCGCTTTTGAAAGATTTTACCTTCACTGGTGGAAAACTGCACGTAAGAGGATTAAAGAAGCTAGGACGAGATTGGGTCCACCACGTGCCGGTGTGTATATCATCGTTGACAGCGGCGGTCATTAGAATGCAATTAGATGCAAATCTTTCCCGTTGTTGGCATGAATCTCTGCCAGCGCTGTCCGACTGACCGACATAGAGTGGCGTGTCTGACTGACGACGACAGAGGGAGGAATTTGCTTTCGGATTTAGGAAAAAAAATGGAACACTCACGGGACTTTCAATTAGCATTTTGTTTTGTTATCGCGGTGTACAATTTTATATCTTTATTAGGAGTTACGGTTTTTGAGACAATTTTCTCTGGTTTTCTAATTTTACAGTTTTGATTTTAAGTCTGTTTTGTGTGGCGTGTGGTTGATCTTGGTTGGTGAATAAACGGTAGAAACGTTTCGGAAAATGCAGCGGATATGTTGGGTGAATCCTGTGTTGATATGTGACTCGATCGATAATTTTACGAACACATATTGATGTGGGGTGTTTTGGTTTTCCTTTCCGGTTCAGCAACCGGGCTTTGGTTCGGGTTTTATCTGAAGATTTGGTGGTTTAAGATTGATTCGTTCTAGTTCTGCAGTGGAAGACTTTCAAGAAAATTCACTTCAGTGTTTAGTGGTTTGATGGAAAGATTGGAAAAGTTCTTCATTTTGCATACAGGTTGAATGAACAAATTGGTTATTAAATCTCGATGAACTATCGTAAATCTAGATAAACATTTCAAAGGGTCCTATCTGCATTGATTGATTCTCTTCGTCGACTTTCTCTTTCGTTGATAACTCAGAAGCAAAACATTTTCCTGTTGTATTTGATGTTTTAGACGCTAGATAAGAACCTCCTTTATCAAACTATGTGGTTAGAATAGCCCGAAATCTATTTACATAGCAGTGATTATCAAAAAAAAAGTCGTGTTCGCGGAAAATATTTATCCTAACCACGAACACGGGTACAAAATTTATGAGTTCTAGATAAACATTTCAAAAGGTCCTATCTGCATTGATCGATTCTCTTCATCGACTTTCTCTTCCGTTAATAACTCAACTTCAACAGCATTCCCTGCTGTGTTCAACATTCTAAGCACAAGATAGAAATTTCTGCTATCAAACTGTGTGGCAAAAATAGCACGAAATGCATTTGCGTAGGCGTGGTTATCAAAAGAGAAAGTCGATGAAGAGAATCGATCAAAGCAGATAGGACCATTTGAAATGTTCATCGAGAGTTGTTTCGTGTCTAATCTATTCCGGACAAATTATTTTTATCTAGATAAAAAGAATACTATGGTATTGACTGTAGACACTGTATATAGACTAGACAACGTTTGTCTTATGTAGCCAAACGAACTGTCAAAAAGTGTAACCAAACGGACTGTCATCCTTTGGTTTGCTTCAAAGGAGCAAGTATTGTGATCTAGTGTTGTTTTGACAAACAGCAAAATATAAACAAAGAGGCGAACTCCTAGTAAAATTTTGTTTCTCTCAATGTAAGTTTTTCCAACATATTATTTGTACGTGGCTGGATTTGTGATAGTGAAACGGTTCCTCTCTCTCAACAGGATTACGATTTCAACATCCACTACGGTTAGCGTTTACTCTACCCAGCTATATGTTTTAAAACAACATCCGGCCACTGGCATTTGAATCTCTGCTCTCAATCCATCAATAAGTTTCAATAAGACTGAAAAACGTACGGTAGAGCACGGTAGAGACGACGACTGAAAAACGAGTGGGGGAGACATTACTGGAGTACCGGAAACCCACTGGAAACCATGGTTGCCGCGTAGTGTTGGATGATTCTTGGATGCAAATTACATTAACATCGAAGCAAGAAGCTGCTGTTGCCTCGGTGCTTCGGTAACGGCGATTGACTCGAGAACTTTAGCATTGCCGGAAAGGATGATACGCATCAGCACTTCAATGAACTGTTTATGGAAGATTTTCCAACTCTCAGAGGCGAAAATTGCACTTTTATTTAACAGCTTCTATGCACGAACGGAATCAAAACAAAAGCAAAGGAAAAACAAAAACAAAAATCTTTTTCTTGGCTTATTGAGCTGCTCCCTGAAAGTTTGAACAAATTCAAGTGATGCCAGATTTATTTTTCAAATTAATGACATTTATCAGGGCTACCAGATTGCATGATTTTACATTGTCCGGTCTATATACAGTGTCTATAGTATTGACAGGGGATCGCTGCACATTTGAATCGGCCGTTATGAGTTCTCGATCAAGAGTTAAGTTTAAGTTTCATGTCGGTTTGTTTGTGATATAATGCCCAAAGACGTACATCGAATTTCGCTCATTGGGCTTTCTTTAAGTGGGCTACGTTTTAGTTGGGCTGTAACCCATCTAAATCGAAGTCAAACGTCATTTCTGACAGTGATGATTTCTTTTCGAGGGGGGCTCATGGATGAACAATTTGTATAGTTGCTAAAGTATTGTGATGGTAATAAACAATCGATGTATTTCTCAACCAATTTTCGGCTTGACAGCTCAGCCTAACTAACGAAAGCCTTTCACTAAAGACTCAAACTAGTTTTAAATCCGACCAGTAGGCTTACTCAGATCGGGCTTTTCCGTTCCCGCTGCCGTTCCTCTTCCGCTGTCATTGCGCTTAAAGGCCCAAGCGCAATGACAGCGGAAGCGGAACGGCAACGGCAGCGGAAAAGCCCGATCTGAGTAAGCCAACTTGTCGGATTGAAAACTTGTTGGAACCAAATCGACTTCGGTTAGCCATCTTGATGTCATTTGTGACAACTGTCAAACTTTCCGTTTCCGTTCCGCTTCCGTCCACATTGCGTTTGGGCCTTAAGGCTCTGAACCATTTGGCGGTATGTTTTAACTTTTGGTTAAAATTTGACAGATGGAAAGTTATTAATTATCCCGGCTCTCCGAGCATGGTTATTTGTGACAGACAAGCAGTTAAATTTTGACAACCGTGGCTGAGTTCTGCTCGATAATCGGTCGATATACAGCACAGGAATTTTCGAACATAGAAAATAACTTTCGAAATGTCACTTTTAACCACGAGTTAAGTTTAACTCGGAAAATGGTTCACAGCCTTAAGCCTTTAATTCTCATTTCGAAAATTATTGTGCATGTTCGAAAATCCCTGTGATACCGATCGTCCGATTTTCGAGCAGAACTCAGCCACGGTTGTCAAAATTACAAATGTGGAAATAATCTTCAGGATATTTACTTCAATGATGACCACCAACTGCTCAAGATAAATGGGTAAGGTTGCTAAGTTGTTCAGTAGACGAAGGGCGTCTGAAAGGGAGACAGTTTGGTTCGGAGTTCAGTCGCTGCATAGCGCTAGTGTGCATGAAACATTTAGCATTTTTGGATTTGTTTTATCACGTGAACCTGGCCACCTAGGAAGTTCCAGTCTTCACCAAAGTAGTTCAGAAAACCAAAGGCGTTAGGAAGGTGGACATTGGTTCAGATTTCTGTCACTACGTGGTGCTAGCAACAGGTGAAAACTAACGATTTTAAATTGGTTCACTACTTGACTAGCCTATTGGCCCCAAGTACATCTATGAGCGATGAAAAATCCCGCGATTTTTTTTTCATTTCCCGGGTTTCCTGAACTCCGGGAAAAAAAGTTTTTTAATCCCGGGATCCCGTTCATCCCGGGATTATTTTTTTTAATTCATAATCTATACACAAATTATTTTCCACTGTAGGATAGTAATTCGCAAATGACGTGGAACAAGTCATCATTTTCATTTGTTGATTTGATTCTTGATTAATATTGGACAAAGTTACGATGGGTGCATGCAAATTTAAAAATAATACAGTTACTTATCCAAAAAAGAAGAAAGAACCATGCTTCCATTGATTTACTGGATTTTTTATTTCAATTATAAAAATAATAATATTGGAATTAATAAGAATATTTGCAATTCTCCAATGAGAGAAAGAGAGTATATTGAATTCACCTTTGCGAATTCTGATTGGTTGAAGTGCAAAAGCCATCGGCTATTTAAAGAGGGTGCATATTCCATGTGGCTCATTCTCTCTAGTTTCGTTCGTTCGTTCGCAAGTCGAATTAGCTCCGCGTTGCGTAGTGACGCTCTCACTGACCCAGTCATGGGTAAGAAATCGTGCGGTAACGCGAGTGCCGGTTTACCGGGAAAACAGACTCTCCCAGGAGACGGCGCGACCACCGAGCCAGCCCAGAAGAAGCAGAAGAAAACCCCATTGCCCATCCCGACAGGCGTTGCGGACCCGCAGCCGGGGCCTCCCGGAACTAAACGACCCAGACCTGAAGACAGCAGCGCCACCGCATCGGCAGCAAAATAAGCTGCTGAGCAACAATCCGTTCTCCGCCCTGCAGAACGGAGCCCAGCCGCAGTCGGACCCTGAGACGGTGCCGAAAAAAGTGAAGTTGCCACCCTTCTATGTGAAGGGCTTCCCTCCCGGGCTATGGGAGTAGCTGGATTTTTACATTAAGCAGGGCCTTCGCTGCACCATTCAACGGTGCACGGAAGGCTACAAACTGATGGTCTCGGCCGAAAATCACTACAACGCAGTCCAGGCCCTCTTGGACAGGATGAAGTTTTTTTTTTTTTTTAATTCTTTATTAAAGAGATTTTTAGCCTTAA